GCAGAGCTAATGACTATCATATTTTAAGTGCAACCTTGCCAAAACTGGCACTGTCCAGATGAGTTGGACTACAACTTGTATTGGTCATGCTGGTTGGGCATGATGAAAATATAGTCACTGCCACCACCCCGATTCCGAGGAAGCAGGAGTGGGTGGCTGAAGAGGCAAGCGTAAGGCAGCTCCCCCAGCCAGGAGAGGGCCGCGAGGAGGGGGGTAAGGGCATCTTTCCGAGGGGAGGCGAGGGATGGGGACATGACTGGCTGAGCGGGGCGCCTCCTGCCTCTCCCTGCCACGGAGGGAAGAAGCATGGCAGCCGCTTGATGGCAGCAACTTGCCCCTAGAAGGCTGCGGCTCCCATGCCTCTGCCACAACCTTCTCTGGGCAAGCTGCTGCCGCCATCAAGCAGCTACCCCTGGGCTCGGCGAGGTGGCTGTGACTTGGCCTGCAGCCCAGGGATGTGGCTCACAGACTTAAAAATGGATTTTAAAAGTTATATTTTTCTTACCTTCAATCCTTTTTTAGTGTCTTCATCTCTCTCTCTGGCCCTCCTCTCTTCTGTTTCCCTCTCTGTATTCCCACATGCATATGCATGCAATGGGGGGGGGGGGGAGCCGGCACATGCACAGTTGAGCTGTTACAATTTGGCGTGTGCGCCGACACTCTGCTCAGTTTCAACGAATGCCTGCACTGGCTCAGAGCTTTTGGACTTGCTCAGAGATCGTTTTCTCCAAGCGAGTCCAAAAGCTCTGAGGCAGGCTGGATAAATGAGTGTGAAGGGCTGTATCCAGCCCACGGGCTGTAGTTTGAGGACCCATGCTTTACATCATTACAGTGTCTATTTCCCCTTCTGTTCTCCTGAAACTGCTTTCCCATTGGTTCAGTATCCATTATACATCTGACCACAGTCACCATGAGAAAGACTCATTCTGTAACAAGGATGCTCCTGGCTGTTCCCCCATCAGAAACTTATATCCTTCAAGCACTCTCTTGCAACTTCAGTGACAGGCAATTTTGCAATAGGTGAAAGTGTTCCTAAGGACAGAGGTGTTTTCAGGACATATGACACAGTTGCGCAAAGGACAATGAGTGGACTCATTGTTACATATGCCACTGGGGCTGAAATAATAGTGCCACGGCATTGCTGTACAATGATGTGGGGGTTGCCCTTGCCATGAGTTCATTTAATCCCTCTGTGTGAGGCAACATGAACACAGAGTGGTACCTTGGTTCACAAACTTAAATCCGTTCCATGTCTCTGGTCGTGACCTGAATTGGTCACAAGCCAAGTCAAATTTTCCTGTATGGTTCAATGTAAATAAGGTTAATTTGTTCTGTAAATGTTTTTTATCATAAAAATTTGAAACAAAGTAACAAACAACAACAAAGTACAGTAGAGAACACTAACCTAGGTGGGGGGGGGGAGTTACTGTTTGGAGGGAGAGTCCAAACAATAATTGTGTGATAGCAATCATGCTCTGGGGTCGGGTGGGGGGGAGGTGGCTGCCATCGCGCTCATGCTCGGGGGGGGGGGAACGGGCACAATCATGATCATGCTCGTGCAGGGAACATGGCCGCAAACGCGTTCGTGCGGGAACATGGCTTCAATCGTGGTCATCACCCGAAGCGGAGTTTGCAAACGGAGGCAAAATCTTTCTGAAATTTTTGTTCGTGAACCAATTTGGTCATGAACTGAGGCGTTTGTGAACTGAGGTACCACTGGATGTATGTATGTATTTATAGGCTGCCTATAACTGCCAAGGCCTTCCTAGGCAGCTATAACAACACAGTTCCCTACCTGGTGGGTTGGGAGTCTGTTTCTAGGGACACTGGGGCCATCTCTATTTTTTAATGCCAATTTTCTCTACGTCTCTGCCCCCTCATGAGATGAGCACTCACTTAACACACTGGCTGCTCCACCAATGTGGTACCAGTTTATCTCTGGTTCCTGCATAATTCTGGTAGATTTCTTTGCTCTCAAATATAGGCTTTCCCTTGCCCTGGTGGCTGTAATATCAAAGGTAAAGTTCAGGATTGTCACTTTCTGCACTGGTCTCCTTTATGCATATATGAAGGAGGGTTGTCCATGGGGTCGCAAAGGGTCAGACGCAACTTTGCAACTAGCAGCAGCAAACAAAGCTAAGAACACCTGATAAAATATAACTTCTGGATTTCCCTCCAGATTTAACAAAAGAAAAAAAACTGTTTTTAATGGAGTAGCAAAATTTATAATCAAAATTACATAATATTTCATGGACTGTCCTGTTATCAATATTTCAAAATTCCAAAGAACTGTCTTTTATGTTCTCAGGCTTAAGTCAGAGCAAACTAAGAGATAATGCAACTAGGCATAACACAATAAAAGATATTACCTTTGTAATGCATTATTGCTGCCAATTATAAGAATCACTTCAACTTAATTTCAAAAACACAATCACCCTCAACTGTAACAGTCACTTTTTAAAATTTCAAACTGTATTACATTAAGGCAATAACTCACCTTCCAGCTATAATATTGGTATCCCTTATTGCAAAAATACATTTCATAAATACTTCATTGACAAGTCAAGCTAATTCAGGTTAATTTTATTGTATTTTGGTGCCATCTCACATTTGTGTGCAATTACCTCTATCATTTTATTGCCATACCGGATACCGGAAAGTAATCAGAGCAATTATTTGAAAAAAAAGGCATATAATTTCTAAGTCACAGTTGCTGGCATTTCTGATAAAATAGCTGCTTTATCTCAGAAAGTGGCAGGGACATCAGATAAATCATGCATCAGTCAAGTGCAGCTGACCCCCAAGTGCATTGCACAATATCAGAAGTGCTTCAAAAGAAACTTTCCTGCACCATCCATCATCCTCCATAATACTAAAATAGCTACACCTGAGAAGTCAGAAGTAGAGAAAAATAATAATAATAATAAATCATCCAAGCAATAGGGCTAACATTATTAACAACACTCCCCTTTAAACTAAACTATAGGATGCACTAGACCTGCTTGTAAACAAATAGGACTATTTCCACAGTTATCTTCAAAAATGAAGTCACACAAATAGCACTGCAAGAACTTTCTTCTCAACTAAATTCTTTCTTCTCAACCTTAACACTGCACAATCCTAAACTGAAATAAACATACATATAGGGGGATTGGGTGGGGGGAGTAAAGGGAGTAGCTGATGGCTATGAGAACATACTTTTTCTTTGTTATATTTGTATTCCCTTTTGCTGCACATAAGCCAAATAAACTTACATAATCCTCTCCATTTTAATACACAATGACTCTGAGAGGTAGATCAGACTGAGGGTCAGTGACTGATCCAAAGCCATTCAGTGAGCTTCATGGACAAATGGGAACTAGAACCTGGATCTTTCAAGTCCTGGTCCAACACCCTAAACACTATACCACATTGTCTCATATATTACAGAAGCAGAAAATGATCATTATCATTTGATTACCTCTTTACCTCTCCAACCTCCAAGCCCATACTATATTAAGAAAAGCTGAGAAGTATCTGAGGTTATTTCTTTGTAGCAGAATGAAAGCATGGAATAAGGCATTTAGACAGTATAAATAGTGTGGTGTAAAAGCTTCTGCTTATCTGTCTTATCTACCTTTAACTTCAACAAATAGCAACATGCAATCTTAAGTCTGAAATTACAAACCTACCCTTAGGAGGAGGAGCTACTAAAACAACAGCATGGTCAAGAGGTAAAACATATTTCTTCTGCCTAGCTGCATCTCTCCCCTTCCACTCCTGGTACAACAATCCCATTTTTACATTGAATAACATAGAAAAATAAAATAAAAGCATGGATCTGCATAGATTTTTTTCATACAACCTATGATGCAGTGGTAACATATTAGCATACAAAATATTTGGATATACCCATTCAAAACTGATGATCAATGTTAACAACTACAAAAAAGAAATGAAATGCTATCATCTCAAACAGGATGTGTGTACACACATATGTAGGAGAACCCTGGTAAGCTCCTTAAAGACAGGGCTCCCCACACCCATAGTGGTCATGAAAGTTCTATACTGTTCCTTTCTCTACAAGATTCAAACAATTGTCCCATAAAACTGAAGAGGAGTTACTGAAGTCCTTTCTAGCTTCATAACGGCATAGTTCCCCCTGTATTTGTATCTATTACTGCTATTAGGCAGAATATGGTGCAACTAAAGAGAATGACTCTTTATACTGAGAAATCTGAATATATTTTACAACTTGATATGAGGAGAAATATTGCAGAGAGAAATCTAGTGTACATAAGCATTTATCAAATATGATAATAATTAAGAGTGGCAAAGCCCAACATAACGAAATTGAAAAAATAATAGAAGAAATTGAGAGGAAAGGCAATAACCTAAGACTACTCCATTTTTTCCTAGTTGGTGCTGTAGCAGCAAAAAGACCAAATTGTTTCTTGAGCCTGTTGGCTGCCACTGCCATGTGGCTTGCAGATCTCAGTTGCCTTGAATGAGCACAAGTCCAAAAGGGGCACTGGCAGGATTGCTACAAATGTGCCTTACACGTAAATGTTTAAATGTGATCTATAAACAACTACTACGTTTAGGCATTTTATACAATATAGTTTTCTACAGAGTCTGGATTTCTCTAAGAAATAAGTTTGTTTACGGCATTTCCTTTAACTCAAATTATACAAAAGTTTAGGTTATTTGTTGCTTTTTAGTATGTGTGTGTGTAGTCACAGAAGGATAGAAAGCAGCTTGGTTAACCCTAAAAATACAGCAATATTCTATTAGGTTATGGTCTGTGGAAGATATGTGATGTGGAAAGGTCCTCTGCTGCCTGTTACCAACCATGACAGCTACCGAGATTTACAATGCAGCATCAATCTTGTCAACTGCATTCTTAACACTGATAGCCAGACACTGGGGAAAGATGGCAACTATATTACATGCATTCTTCTCCAAGATTATTACTTCATGTGTGGACCTAAATGTACTATTCCTTCTACAAAGCAACTTACTTTTTGATGAAGATCTGATGCCATGTTAACTACACAAAGGAGCTCAGCCTATGAGAAAGGAAAAAAAGATACCCATTAGAAAAAATGCAAAAGTATGCATTTCTTAAGCTATTAAAAGTTGTCATAAGCTTTGTTACAACTCCTCTTATGATATGAAATCCTACACAATACAACTCTGAATTTTACAGTATACAGTCCAGAAGAGTGGATGGAAATTTTCTTTTCTTGCAAGCAAACAGGAATTTTGAAGTTCAGTAGGTCATCTATCATCTGTAATGACTCATAATCAACAGATGACATTATGAGGACTTCTCTCATCACATTCCCTGTAAAATAGGATTCCACAGGATAACAGAATAGCTTAAGATACATCCGAAAGCCGGTAAAAATATTACTTAAAATACGCTGTACTGTGGCTACAAAGCACCATTTTTCTTTTCCATATACATTTCCTTTAGATTAAGCCAGATCAACACTAAAGGTATTCTGAAAGATAAAAGAACAAGGCAAAACAGCAAGACATAAGAACAAAAACATGCTGAAATGCTTTTTTTTTTAATAAAATGGCTTTGACTATAACTTTATTTAGATTTAGATTGTAAAGCTGCAGAAAGCAACTGAGATGGAATCTCCCAATCGCAAACACATTTACATGAAAGTTAGTTCTACTAAATTGAAAATTATTTCCAAAACAAACAGATTTAGTACTGAGACTATGTTATCCTTAAAAAAGATTACTCGGTGATTGCCTAACTGTTGACAGTAATGTTGTTTCCGATAACCCAACTTTAACTATATTTGCTTTCCATCAAATACCGGCAACCATTTATAGCAAGCCAGTAACTTAGTGTTCTTACAACCACTCAATCAGCAGGTCTCCTGAATTTTGTTACCTATTCATGGTGAGTATTTTAGCATAACTCAGCTTTTTTGATCAGGTACACAAGTAAGATTTTTCTCTCCAGGTAGCAGCACAATACCACTTACTACGAAGTGGTAGCCTACCTCCTACACAGCAAGGTAGGCAACCACATGGGTCTCTGTCCTACTTATTTCAGTAGAACGTATTTCAAATTAAGCAGTCTTAGAACCAATACTTACAGAACAAACAAGGGGAAAGCAAACAGCTCAAAAGCACATGCCAAAGACCTTAACAAAAGACCTGATATACTTGGGGGGTTGGGGAGACCTCTTACATTTCTCATCCACACTATCAGCTTGTAGTTTTGGCAGCAACATAAGATATAAAAGAATCTGTACAGGGTCAACCAAATATTGGGAATAAAGAGCTTAGCTTCATTTTATTTGCTGGAGGTCTTTCTTTGCTAAGTCAGACACATGTACAGGGAGTATTCTCAGATCTTAATTAGAGGGGTGGGGATGTTGAATCCTTAACAGGAACTGGACTTCTCCCAAGTGTTTTAGTTAAATGCGTGTTAAAAATAAAGAGCTTTGAGCAGCCTGAATAGAAATTATATCCCCTTTCAATCATGCTAACCCAATTTAGTACAGGTAGTGCAACCAACTAAGACCTAGATTTCAAAGTTAAAATAGGGTGGAGGGATTTGCATCATATTCAAAACTGCCTGAGTCTTCTATTTGCAACTGTTCAATTAAGGATGTTTTCTAAGAACAGGCATTATTTTCAATAATTTACTTGTGTTTTATTTCAAGGTTACTGCAATTTCTGTAGCAATAACATGCTGATCACCCTGGTTCTAGCCCCTTTTCTATTTATTTCATAAAATACATCTTAAGTGCATATCACACCTGATGAATATAATAAACCATACTTTTTAAAGTTAAGTAAAGGTTCAAAGACTATACCAAATGTCTGACAGCAACATACCATAATGTTGAAATCTAACTATTTGAAAGAAGTAAAAATGCCTTCTCACTTGCAACTTAAAATCAATAATTCTCTGCAACACAGAATCTTTAATGTTTTTACATGCCACTGGAAACTGCAAAAAGTTATAATGGCATGGTGAAAGTGAACAATAGAATACCGCCTCAAAATTTTATTGCCCTTACTACAATAATCAGTTTATTACACACTTGCATTTTGAAATGTTGCTGGAATGAAGGCCTTAAGTTTTTATTTATCAAACAAGAATTAATGATTCCCCTTCTCTGAACAGAGATATAAGCTTCTCTAGCAGACCAATTCAAAATTCCCTTTGTCCTAGCACAGCACTTAAAAGCATGTTAATATGAAGTGGAAATAATATAGGACAACTGCTTTATCTCCTCAAGCGATAAAGTGAACTCAACAATTTTTGTTGAAGTATCTTTGAAATACCCTTTCAGATATCCTGCTGACTGACTGACTGACTGACTGACTGACTGGGAAAAGGCAGGTTTCCTTACCTGTAACTGTTGTTCTTTGAGTGGTCATCTGTGCATTCACATATGTGGGCTCTTTGTGCATGCATGGTTTTTGGGAAGATTCCAAAGCTCATTAATTAGCATTCAGTGGGAGCTCACCTCCAATGCGCCTAGCATGAAGGCAGGGTCCCACTGAGACCTCAGTTCTGGACTGAGACCACCATACTGCTCACATCAATAGGACATGTAGCCCCTGTGGCAAGAATGAGAGACACCAGCGGGGATGGCAGGTGGGTATGTGTGAATGCACACATGACTTCTTGAAGGATGACAGTTACAGGTAAGGAAACCTGCCTTTATTCTTCATGGTCTCTGTGCATCACACATGTGGGTGACTGGCAAGCTTATCTCGAGGAGGAGGGTGGTGTTGCTAACCCAAGTAACGATGAGAGGACAGCTCTGTCAAAGGCACAGTCCTCTCTGGCTCTAATGGCAAGATGGTAATGACGAATAAACGGTTGAAGGGTTCAACCATGTTGCCACATTGCATAAGACAGTGAGAGACTAGATTGCAGTGGAGGTGAAGGTAGCTCTAGTGGAGTGTGCTTTGACAGTACCAGAAAGTCCAGAGAGTTCATACATCAGGGATACGGTATGCATTCTCCATTTAGAAAGGCTTTGTGGGGAAATAGGAGTTCTCTGTTGTGGACTGTCATAGGTAACAGAGTCTTTGACATTGTCTGAAAGACTGAGTCCTAGATTTGTAAAAGGATAGTGCTCTACAAGCATCTAAGGTGTGGAGAGCAATTTCAACAGGGTTTATGAAAACAATATATTTCATAAATCTTGGAAAACAGGAGAAATGCCAGAAGACTGGAGAAGTGCTAAGGTTGTCCCTGTCTTCAAAAAGGGGAAAAAAGATGAATGAGGGAACTATAGACCAGTTAATCTGACATCAATCCCTGGAAAAATTCTGGAGCAAATTATTTAAAATTCCATTTGCAAGCATCTTGGAAAAAAATGCAATGCTTAATAGAAGCCAGCATAGATTTATCAAAAATAATCCTGTCCAACTAATATTATTTTTTCACTGGATAACCACCCAAATAGACAGAGGGAACACTGTGGACATGATCTACCTAGACGTTAGCAAAGCTTTCAACATGTGCCACACGACATTCTGATAAGCAAATTAGCAAAAAAGTGGACTAGGAGGATCCAAAATTGGCTGCTAAATCGGACACAAAGAGTGTTCATCAATAGCACCTTCTCAAACTGGATGAACTACTGCGGTGCCACAGGGATCAGTCCTGGGCCCAGTGCTCTTCAACCTCTTTATTAATGATTTAGATGAGGAAATACAAGGAAAGATAATCAAATTTGCAGGTAATACAAAACTGGGTGGAATAGCAAACACACTAGAAGACAGAATGAAGATCCAGGGTGACCCTGATAAACTTGAACACTGGGCTCAAAGCAACAGAACGGAATTCAATAAGGACAAGTGCCAAGTCATCCACCTAGGAAAAAGAAACCAAACACATCAATAGAAGATGGAGAATATGTGGCTCAACAGATTTAAACAAGAAAAAGATCTCAGAGTAATTGTGGACAATAGGCTAAACATGAGCCAACAATGCGATGCAGTCACAAAAAGGGCAAATGCTATTCTGGTATGCATTAACAGAAGTACTACTTCCAAATCATGAGACATAATAGTTCCTCTATACTCCTCACTAGTCAGACCTCATCTGGAATACTGTGTCCAGTTCTGGACACCAAGATTTAAGAAAGATGCAGAAAAATTAGAAAGCATCTAGCCGAAGGCAACAAAAATGATCCAGGGTTTGGAAATACTACCCTAAGGAGAGACTGAAAGAACTGGGAATGTTCAGCCTTGAGAGGAGAAGACTGAGGGGGCATATGGTATCCCTCTGTAAATGCCTCAAAGGTTGTCACAAAGAGGAAAAATATTGAGGAATTAAATATTCCAGCTCTTCAACTGGCCTAGATTCCAGTTCATAGAAGCATAATAATGGAAACAAGGTCTTTCTGAATCCATGAACCCTGCCCTATAACCCTGTCCCTGGATGCACTATTGACACAATGCCACCAATGGTGCATCTACGGCTGCAGAAAGTGCCACTGTCATCTAGGGACAACCTCTGGCAGCAAAACTTGATCTCTTACAGTAAGGGATGGACATCTGCAACTAGCCAACAGTACATCCAGTGCTGCAAAGTGTATAAAACTGTTCCCTTTTTGTGTGATCAAGTATGTGTTCTGGAATGTATTTTCTGCGTGTTTCTATGTTTGTTTTTCTCTTAAACTATGCATTTCTTGATGTATTCTAAAATATGCATGCATGTAAGCATTTTGCTACATTTTTGAACTGGGACTGGTATTACAGAATTCAAACAGGTAGGAATTGATAGATAATTGCTTTCCGGTCCACATGTTAATACAAGCTGGAGATCAGGTTGATTTGTTTCAAAATGTGAACTCCTTAAACCAGGGGTCTCAAACTCGTGGCCTGTGGGCCAATTGCCAGGATGGGCGGGGCACGGGGGAGGGGCCCTGTGGCCTTCAAAGCACCGGCAGTGCCCAGGCTGGCCGCAGGATGAGTGGCCCACCACCACCACAGTGGTGGAATAGTTGATGCGGCCCAGCCTCACCCAGACTCTACTTCCAGTGGCCCCCAGGTAAGTTGAGTTTGAAAC